ACTTTTTTTATTATTTATCACCATAGTTCGGTAATTCTTTTGAATTCGGATATCGCTTAAAGTGTTAGCAGTTGTACTTTCGTCACGGTTTTAACTTCCAACCCGAAGGTTCCTTGATTCGAATGCCGGCACTACTGGCGAGTTTTAAACAAGCCAAAATAACTGTTTCGTGCTGTTTGTCGGTCATCAGGGATACGTCCATTTCAATTAGCTGGTGGAGAATCAACAACCGCCCAAGGAGTGAAACCTTTCATTCTGGGTCATCAAAAGTGCCCGATGCTTGTGGTAGTTAGAACGGGCTGCATGGAAACCCTGATTTCGTGGGAGGCTTTCGATTGGAGTTGACAAATTGTCATCTGTGTCTCCCTTCGTTGCTGTCGGACCAAATGGACTGACTATCACTCAAGAAGACGATACCTGAACAAACAGGAATTGAAAATTTGGTTTAGCCATGGTAAGAGCTGGTTGGCACAGTGGTAACACACACACACACACACACACCTTCCATGCGATGGGTCCTGAGTTCAACTCCCGGACGAGAAGGTGGATATGCACTATTGATGAGCTCCGATAAGAGCGAAACTCGAGCCTGGTGCTTCCGAGTGAATAGTTGAATCGATGAACTGAAGATTGTGCGTGAAGATGAAGTCCCTGGGATAGCCAGTTCAAATCAACCAAACATAGTACTCCAAAAAATTCGTGGTGTTTGTAAACAACAGAGCTGGTGGTCTGTTTGTACTATGAAGTGAAGGTAAGTGAACTCACCGGTCAATTAAATTTGTCCCTTCTTGTAGTTGCTTGATTTAAATCGAAAGTGCAAAACTTTCTTCCCTCGCCCCTGTCCTCGGTCAAAAAATTCCCTTTGTGGCCGTATTTTATTCGGAATTCAATGGCTCAACAAAGGCACAACGGGGAAATCCCTTTTTCATTTATTACGTGATGCAGTTACACCTTTAGAATAATGATGTGGATCTTTGGTTAACTGAATACAACTCAGTAAGCATTATATAATTCATATTTGGTATTAGGGTCACAAACACGGTTTCGGTTTTTGCTTGATCTGCAAAGTTTATGCTTTTTCGATCTCCAACAACCATGATAAGGTGGTGACTTTTCTTCGTGATTTCGTTTTATTTATTATTATTATTATTTTTCGAAGGTGAATTCATCATCTATATGACAAATGAAGCGTGAACTGAAAAGCTAAAATGCACTGGACAGCTGTTTCGACCTGGTTCGGTCTCATCAGCATTGCGCGCCCATCGACTCAACTAGGGATCGAACCTGGGAGCTCACAGGCAGAACGCAAGCATGCTACCCACTCGGCCACTGGGCAGCTGATCAGATCGATTTTCAATAACCTTTGAAATTGAATCAAATCCTCCATTACTCACATGAAGTAGTCAGATTGTGAATATTTCCAACCGAGTCAAAACCCGATGGCTAGTGCTGGGATGAGCGAGGTTTGTGGCCCGCAACAAGCTCGCAAAGGTGGGTTATGCTATATCGTGTAAATGAAAAATGGGAGACGGACTGACCACCTGCCCGGTAGTCGATTGGGTAGCATGATTGCGTTCTGCCTATGAGGTCCCGGGTTGGATCCTCAGTTGAGTCGATGGATTCGCTCACTGTTGTTGATGAGACCCAACCAGGTCGAGATGCCTGTCCAGTTCTTTCTAGCTTTTCAGTTCACGCTTCATTCGCCATATACACGACAAATTCACCTTTGAAATCGAATCAGATCCTACAGTACTCACATATTTTTTTCTTTGTTGTGAACAATAAAAAGGGGTAGCCAGCCAAGCGATGAAGACTTACAATTTACACCTTATGTTCTCCAATTTCCAATTGGCTAATAGCGATTACGTCGGCTGAACAATTTGAACTCGTTACAAGCTGTCCTCGTCGCGCTGCAAATCGGAGCTGTGCGCAGACTTCGCCATTGTTGGACTATTGTGGAGCTGTGAGTCAAAACCTCCGAAACATGGATAACAATAAGTTTTTGTTGTTGTTGATCTCATACGTGTCTTATTCCATTCGGTACGAAGTTAATCTATTCGATCAGTAAGAGAGTAAAACAAATCAAATCTCTGCAGGTACAAGGATAGTTTGATGACCAACCGTGCGTTAGATTAGCCCAGTTTACTGAATACGTATAATGCTGATAGTGGAGTGTATATGAAATCGTCGAACTAGTTTCGCGTGGGGAATCCAGTCTTTCACCAGTTTCTGATAAAGATAAACACGAAACTAACAAGGCGGTAGTGATTGTTCTGACAGTGTCTACTGTTTTTGAGGAGAAAAAATCGATTAAATCACGTGTGGTGCGTGGCAAAAATGGGTGTCAGTAGGATTGATTGATTTGCCTGCCTCGGATTAGTAAAGAGTTATGGAGTCATGTGAGGTCATGTTTCCGCAGGTGGATCGATTCAATCCGCACGAGTGCAGATGTGAGGTATCTAAATGATGGGCTTCATTAGTCCCCTCCTAACCAATCAAAGAGGGAAAATATGTGTATTCGATTCAGGAGTCTAATACGGGGTGTAAAAGGTTCACTCATTCATTTGGCTGTAATTAAATGATAATTGTTTGCGGTTTATTCTTTGCGGCAGGGTACTTTAGAGAGAAGGATGAGTAAATAAGTTTGACCGTTACACCACTGCGGATAAAAGTCGTTGTCTCTGGTCCGGCAAATTATGTATGGGGAATCGAAATCTACAGATAATCATACAATTATCCGTTCTTTTTCGACATATTCTCTCTACTGGACTCCTAGTTTGTCTTTCATCTCCTGGTGACTGAATATCTCAATCATATATATCTCTTGCTTTTGGACACCACACCCATTCGACTGGCACATTCGTCACCGCTTACCATGGTAACATAATTGACCTGTGTGACTAGGGACGAAGCATCAGGACAGTTCGAACCAATGTAGGTTGACTTGAGTGCGTTTTTTTCGCGATGTCACATGGACCAGTCGCCTGGGCACATTTGCATAAAACAGGCTGACGGGACGTGCTGCGACTCTCTGGAACTCTGGCCTCGTGGTAAAGTTAAGCCCTTCCTACTTTTCCTTTGGCATGAGCAATTCATTGGCACTAAACGGATTATCTCAGCGTTAATTAACAATAAAAATACAATATTTGAGGACTTTGTCGTCTAATTTTGATTGATGCTAGCGTTGTGAGATACTACTCACATTCGTAAGTAATGTGTTTTGTGTGCACATGAATAGATGGTTGGTAGTTTCTCAAGGTATCTGGAAGAGAATCAAAATATTTACTATTGTAACTACAGCAAATTCAAAGAGACTGTAGTGGGCTGTTTGATCATGGATCAAGANCTTGTGACCTGGGAGTCCCGCCGGGTACGAATCGCTTCACCACCGCCGTCCGACGGCAGGCAGCCTTTGTGCGGCCGCCTCCTCCCTTCCTGAATGTTAACTCTACATTTGTGTATTGAAAATGTAATTCGATTTGCCCCTATCCATGTCCTTCCTCAAATGAGTAATTTTCCCCAACCCGGTACCGGTCTTTGAGATAGCTAACATCAGTGAAGAGAAATTCGGGGAACAATCTGAAAGATAAGTCTCATATAAAACTAATTCTTGCTCCAAATATACACATCCCTTGCTTATTCTACTGTGACATCGTAGATGAGAGGGGTGTGGATAGCCGTCTGTTGTTGTTCGAGTGGGCTCCGAGGTTGCGTGTTCCAATTCAACCGGAGGCATCTCTCTACCGCTCAAATTTCCCCCATCTTCTTCACGTTACCAGGTCACCCTTGATCTATAGTACGGGGCTTACTGGAACCAGACTGTATTGTTTATTCACTAAATCAAATCAAATCAGTGAATCTTCATTGTTAGTATTTTACGTATCATTTGGTGCACGTGTCGAACACGAAGCTGACGGCCAGCCCGAATAGCGCAAATGGTTTGCGTGGACAAACCTTATCTCCCTCAATCTAAACACTTAGTGTCGTACTACAAGCTACCGTTCTGTCCCCGTTTTTCTCTTCCACATATATTTTATCTATGCGTATTCACCAAAATTCCTTGATCAAAAATAACTACGTAGACAATGTTGTGTTCGGAATGCTCAACCGCCCCCTTCCCTCCTCGCTCCCAGATGCTTTGGTTACTTCCACTCTTCACCGTGGCCTTTCTATCCTTGTTGACCAGTTAATTGCGCACAACTCATCTCAACTCAGTCTCTCTAAATGCGAACCACTGCACTAACCTTTTAGAATCCCGTCCCGCAGTAGACACATAAGGTGAGACCGTCAACCAAACCACAAGTATGAGATACATCAGTGTGGTAATTGGTCATAATCTATATTGTTCAAACAAAAGTATTTCTGTGCTTAGAAAGTCATCATTGTTTAACCTGCTGGTGAAAGCTGTATCTCTGCCCAGCTTCCGGATTCGTTGTTTTATTATATTTTTTGCTTGTGTTTGGCCCCTCCAGCCGTACGGTTTCCATGTAATCTTCTTTCAGAGATGCTTAACAAGGATTTTAGGCACCTCTCTCCAGATCCTGAACACATCCGTTCCGAGGTAACGGGATTTCTGGTGAAATCGTCTGGCATTTCATCGTTTCACACCATACAAACTCGCTTCACTGGTTATCCACATTCATTACACGTAGATCTTGTAAACAGAAAACGTTGCTACCAAAACGGTTACCCAAAAAGATTAATTGATATCCATAGTAAACAGTCTCTAACAGATAACCCATCCCCAACTGTTCCCCAGAAATCCCTTTACATCATACTATCTTTTAAGGGCGATCACCTTCTGAGCGATGTGCGCCAAAAGGTAAAGTTAACTCTCAACCGCACATTCCCAGCTGCTCAAGTTCGACTTATTGCCTTCACTGGTAGAATCTATTTGGTTGGCATGGTTGGCAATCCAGCTCTGTCTCACACAGTATACCACTTTATCTGCAGTTGCGGTGACGCATACATAGGCAGAACCAACTGTCAGTTATCACAGCGGATGGCCAAACACATTTCAGAGTGATTGGTGAAGTCGATGACGCAACCCATACCCAATAAGCAGGCGGTCACACGTAACCCGGGGTCATCAATTGCAAAACACCTCAGGACTACCAAGCACATAATTGATCCCGCTTCCTCTTTCAAACCGTTGTTACGTAACCGCAATGCCAAACTGTTGGCAAATAAGTGAGGCGTTGCTACTCCGACTAAATCATCCCGTTCTATGCGCCCCAAAGTTGTTGACTCAATCAGTTCCCTTGTTGCGGAGTTGATCCGTTGTTTTTAATTCGAACATCCTCTGTCCATCTGTACACGTCCGTTGACTAGAAATTACGAATCCAATGTGCCATATATCTGCTTGCTTGTTTCGCGTCAACGATTGAGAAGATTAAACGAAATGTTAACATCATGTGACAGATTTCTTTTTTCGGTATGGATGCAATGCCTACAGCGGACCCAGTGTTTTGAAATTTCTAAAGTACGTACATTTTTCGTGATGGATAAATCATTTTGTTCACCAGAAAAGCATTCATTCTGGAAAATGAAAGGTGATGGTCTATGCTCATGGATTAGTAACACAAAATAAGCGAATGTGTGTTTTCGGTGAATTCATTTTAGATAAATAGAAGATTTGGTTTGTTCATTTGGCGAGTTTCGTTCTGTAAAGACCAAATGAATCGTGAAATGAAAAAGTGCGAAGCATGCGATCCTTAGTTGTGTCGAAGAATTCGCACTTTTGGCGAGACCCAATCAGATAGAGTGGTGGCGCAGTGGTTTAGTCGCTGTCACCGACGTGCTTTGGACCTTGTGGTCCAAGGTTCGAGCCCCGCCACCGCCGCCCAACTATGGTAGTAGACAGCTTTGCTGTCGCCCGGTATTATAACACACTTGACCTAGTGGGGTCTTATGTGGTTCGCCACTCCAAGTCCCGGGGCTTAGGTTGCCGGTTACCATCACTGAACAGCAGGTCATCGTGACTATGGGGTTCACCTCCGTCTGCTATTCATCACACACTGGTGTGTAATAAAAAAAGGAGAAACCGCTGTCTCTACACGACAAAAATCACATTTATAATGAAACACCTTCAGTAGAAAAATGGATGAATCATGAGTCAGTTTCAGTTTCTACAACCATTAACCATGCACTATCGTGTGCCGGTTTTGGTTGCTGTCTTTTAGCGGCCCATGAACATAAGGAGAAAGACAGGCAAAGTCCGAAACCGTATTGCTCTCAAGTGGGTGTGGTGAGACTCAATAAATGACTGGAAATGCCTAACGTATGTCAATCCACTGTCCCGGCTCTACCAAATAAACAGTGATCAATTTTACCCTCTGCTGCGTGGATTGTGTTCTTTGGTACACTGCTATGTCGTTCGACCTACCTAAGTCGCACCACAAAAGTGCACTTCAATTGATAGACAAGCATGGATATATATATATATATATTGTAGTAATTATAGTGATTGTATGATTGTAGTATTAGCACGAAATAAACACGAATTACGGAATACGAGTCACTGATTAGCAATCAGGGATGTCGCGTAAGCACTGGACCACACTGGCACTTGCACGCAATATCCCACGTGACTGAGACATGAGGAAAAGGTCACAGGAATGATAGTTCGTTTATTGAAATAAATAAGGAGAATTAACTAAGATGTGTAAAACAAGATCATTGGTCATCCGGGCCTTCTAGTATTTCTGCCGTTGTTCAGCTTCTGTCTGGGTCGCGCGGGTTCTCATTGGCTGATACAATCGATTTATGGTATGAAGTCCAGAAGCTGTGGCACGCACACGCTTTGCTGACGTCACCCGTTAAGCTTGACTGATCGCCGTTGTCCCAAACTGTGACGTATCGGTCCAGGATATGCGTCATCTCGTGGGCCAGGATCACCAAAGGTATCTGAGGCTTGGTGAAGTGGAGACCACACGTCTCGGCTGAGCGGCAATAAAGGTGGAATTCA